ACGCCCTTTTCTGTGATCATTTCTATTTGATTGTACTTCATGCTAAATTTTCTAGCAGCCTAATCTAACTAAACATACTGGCTAAACTCTCAAGTAATTAACTTTGTAAAGTCCAATTTAGTGCATTAATCTTCAGAGTGAGCCTTCAGCCCCAAGCAAGGAAGGCTGCTCTGCCGGGTCAGAGGTCAGGAGGTCAGAGTTCAGTGACCTGAAGTGGTCCATCCAATGTTTCTCTAATGTCTCTGGTGTCATCTTCGTCCATATCTGGGCTTCCAGAGGTTGGGACCAGAGGCTGACCCAGCTCCTCTTTCCAGGACCTGAGATGATGAGGATCTGACAGGACACCCACCTGTCACCATGGCCCCACCATGGCCTCCCCTCCAGCTATTGAAAAGGAAGCCACCGAATTCAGGCCCCACCTCCCAGGGACAGGGAGAGGTCACTACTTACCAGAAGTGACATTCTTGTTCATGGATGAGCTATTGCTGTTGGTTGTTGTCTGTTATCACTATTCCCCAAAAGGCTGAAGTCTGATTCCTGACATGAGATCCCATAGAAGCGCTTCTGGGGCCAGCGAACCTGGGGGTTCTTGGGGACAGGAGATGCACAAAGGGAACAGACCATGAGTCCTGTCATCCTGTGCTACTCAGATTCCCCGCATCACTCATATTTCTTGTGTCACTTGATAGTGGTGCAGAGCCCAACAGAGACTTCAGTTGTACCTCCCAGATCTCAGCNAAGGGAACAGACCATGTGTCCTGTCATCCTGTGCTACTCAGATTCCCCGCATCACTCATATTTCTTGTATCACTTGATAGTGGAGCAGAGCCCAACAGAGACTTCAGTTGTACCTCCCAGATCTCAGTGAACCTGACTCACCTTAGCTGAACTAGTACCACCTCACAGGTGATGCACAACCTTCTCCATTGAAGGAGGAGTCTGACGCCACACGTAGATACAGACCTGAAGTGTAAGTAACACTGGAATACAGGGGCTCATTGAGGCTCTTATTACACTCAAGGGGTCCTGTATCCTCCCTCAATGGGCTGGACCTGCTCTATCCAGAGGATGGTTTCTNGACAGGGAGAGGTCACTACTTACCAGAAGTGACATTCTTGTTCATGGATGAGCTATTGCTGTTGGTTGTTGTCTGTTATCACTATTCCCCAAAAGGCTGAAGTCTGATTCCTGCCATGAGATCCCATAGAAGCGCTTCTGGGGCCAGCGAACCTGGGGGTTCTTGGGGACAGGAGATGCACAAAGGGAACAGACCATGAGTCCTGTCATCCTGTGCTACTCAGATTCCCCGCATCACTCATATTTCTTGTGTCACTTGATAGTGGTGCAGAGCCCAACAGAGACTTCAGTTGTACCTCCCAGATCTCAGCAAACCTGACTCACCTTAGCTGACCTAGGACCACCTCACAG